GGTTCAGGGTTCTGTCCACATTATATACTAGGATCAGAAGTAGAATGTATTAAGTAGAGAGGTAGTGTTCCTACACAAAGGCCTTATTAATATATAAACTAGTGTATTTACTATCTACTAGAGCCATTGTTCAGATCTGGGAGGATCCTAAGAAGGGAGCCAAGAGGATAAGGACCTGGAGCTAGTGTCTAGAACATTCTCTAATAAACTACTACTTGTTCTGAAGGGAACATACAGCTTGTACAGTCTTGTCATCTAAGAGGGTAAGTATATATACTAACATTTCCTTATTAACCTCTCTCTTTCAACAAGGACAGACTCATGTCCTCAACTGTAAACTCAACTGAGACTATCCCTACTTAATACTATAGACAAACTACTAAGTAGTAAATAGGGCTAGGTAGTGTTCTAAACATTCTGAGATCTTAGAACACAAAAGTAGTAAGTTGGATTGTACAGATTTAGACTTGGATGAAGTGTGAAGAGAAGAATCAAAAGAATCAGAAGAAATAGGAGAACTATCTACTTTTGTTTTTGACTTTCTTCTTTCTAATAAATAATTTTGTTGATTTATTTTTTCTACTTTTTCTACTTTTTCTACTTTTCTTACTTTATTTACTTCTAATCCTATAGTGTCTATTAAATCAAAAGTAGTCATTAAAAAATCTGAGTTATAGCTCTTTAGTACTACATTTACTATTAGGCCTCTACAAAATCCTAAGGTATATAGTCAGAGTCTAGGAGTTCTGAGGTGACTTCCAGATTTGTAAAAAAGGCTTCTTACTACAAATCCTGCTTGTTACTCATTATCACTCTAATGACCTGACAGATATACTGTTACTTCTGTAGGCAGTCCTTAATCTAGTGCCCTAACTTTCTGTAAGTAAAGTATGCTCCTTACTTTCAGGTTTCTCTAATGTCTATTAGAACAGATTGATTGTAAATTACAGGCAGATTAATCTAAGGGCTCAGAACTGTCAGAGCCAGACACATGTACAAGTGTTCTACACAGACTTAATACATCTGAGCTGTAGCTTGGTTAAAGGAGATAGTGTGTGTCTTCCACTTAGTATAAGTAACTAGTTCTAGTATTATTCTAAGAATCTTATTAACTAGTTCTAAGTGAAGAGCTTTTTCAAGCATTCTAATAAGGACATTATCAAACCTGAGTGTGAATCCTACCTTCTAGGCTAGGATATTAAACTCCTGAAAGAAAGTATTAGTAGAATGTTTGCCCTGTCACAGAGACACAAGCTTGTTCTACACATTACACTTCTTATTCAGATTAATAAAGGAAGTACAGAGCTACCCTATAAATTCCAAATATAACTTGTTGTTTCAAAGTTGGATCAGGCTTCTAATCTAATGTCCTTCAATCTAGTTCTGGGCCTAGGTGGCTGTGTTGCCTTCCTTCATGAAGGAGAGGACAAATAGGACATGATTAAGATCTAAGAATAGATCAGTTAAAGTAGTAGTCATGTATAGTTTGACTTAGTACTAGAAGTCCTTAAAGTACTACCTATTAAAGTCTGAAGGGCAGACTATATGTACTTTCTTTCTAGAACAGGTTGCAACTTCTAGAACAATTAGAACAGGTTCTGAAGGGGCTGGAGGCATGTAGTTAGTAAAGGCCTCTTAAATAAAGGTCTATACATATTAAGCTAGTTCTGCTTGTAACTACAGATCTAGTACAACAGTAGGGGTGGTAGTCAGTGTAGGAGGGTCCATATTTACACTACAAAGGAATCAGTACTAAACTAAAAGGGGTAATGAATAGAAGAAGGGTAGCAAAAGTTTAAAAGGATTTAGAAAGTTTAAAATTTAAAAATGTAAAAGGGTTAGAACAAAGAAAAGAGATCAACACAATAGTGAGTACTAATACTTGAAACATAGGAGAGTTGTAGGGTAGTAATGGGTAGTCTTAATCTGATGTTAGTAACAGTATAGAGGGGACCCAAAGGCTTAGTAAGGGGACCTAGGCTACAACTATCCTATATAATAGAAATACAGAATACAAGTACTAGAACATAGTTGGAACTTGCAGAACAGACAGAGAGAGTGAGTGAGACAAGAGTAGAGTATATAGAGTGAGCCTAAGAGTACAGGACTACCTGGAGTAAACAAGATCAAGACTACAGGACCAGTCTGATCTTGTACACCTATATATACTAAACTACACAAGAGTACTCAGAGAGTATAAGCTACTAAGAATAATAAGTCATGAAGAATGAAAGAAAGGAATGTCAAAGATAAAGGTACAAAGAATGAAGGGATAGACAAAGGGTAAGAGATTATAAAATGAACAGAGAATGAAGGGGTAGTCAAAGGAATGGAATAATAAAGTAAGGAAGGGTAGTAGTAAGAGTCAGTACACATATAGTCTATAGACAGTGCCCCTAAGAGACAGAAGTCCTAAGTTCCAGTATAAAAGGGTGTAGAACCCTTAGAACTGAAGGTAAGAGAGTAGAGAACTGTAACACTCTATGTTTGTCATTTTATTAGGTTAACATCTCTTACTTTGCCTAACATTCTTTCAGATACTCCTTCATTTGAAGGAGTACACTCTAATAAAAATAGAGAGGTACAAGTAATAGATGTGGACAATATTTCCAGTACCTCTTTAGATGATTTACAAATTTTGAACAATAATAAAGCCTGATCAATATAACTGGTTGCCTCTTTCTTTTTATTTCTCTTAGATATATCTATTTATTATGTAGGTTTCAACACTGGTAGACTATAAAACACAATATAATTGCTCTCAGCAGTATAACCAATGTCTGAAATTAATATTACACCTAAATTTTCAGCTCAATAAAGGTAAACAACACAAAATTCTTTAAATTTTCCTTTTTGGAACATTATAATGATATTACTAATATACTGACTAAGTGTTGTCCATGTGAGGTTTACCACACCTCCTAAGCCCTAGCAAAATGACCTGTGGAAAACTAGTTTCCTACAGGCTCTCAGGAGTTTCTACTCATACTCTAGAACTGTCTACTTTTTCTCAGTAAGTCAACACAAAAGACAGTACTGTTGTGGTGCCCCATGTAGTCAATTTAAGACTATTTCACCCATTTCTATTCACCACAACCCTTATACAATACAAAAAGTTATAATTATAAATTACAACATCTTGTCTACAATATGCTGGTTTTAATTGTACTAGGCTATTGTTTCTACAACTGTAAAAATTATAGTTATTACAAGTATTAGTAGTAAGAATAATGTTATTAATTTTTTTTAAATGTGTAAGTCCTTCAGAATAAACAGCATCAAGTGTATTAGAGTAGTATAGCTTTGATAACTAAAGGAGAAAGAATATAAGCTTGAAATAAAGGAGGAAGAAATTAATTAGTATTTATATAAAATAGTAGAATATGTATTACTTTATAAGAGGAGAGATTTCCAAACAAACACAGTAGCTCAACTCTCAGAAGAGGAAGTAATATACTCTATACTGGAACTAGTATACACATGAAGTATAGAGTGAGTGAGAGTGAGAGATAGAGGAGAGTGTAAGAGAGAGATAGTAGAATATAATTAAATAGTTTCTAATCATTATATTAAGCCTGTTCCTGTAATTTCATTAGTCAATAAACTTAAAAAAACAGATAGAATGTAATTACTTCTGTTTCCAATTCAAATTATTCTAGATAGAGTCAAAATTGAGTTTGTGTACTGAGAATATGTACTTAGATACAGTAGGCAAATTCCTTTCCCACAGAGTGTCAGCAACAGTGTAGAGGGGACCCAAAGGCTTGGCAAGGGGACCCAGGCTACAACTATCCTACACAACAGAAATACAGAACACAAGCACTGGAACATAGTCAGAACTTGTGGAACAGGCAGAGGGAGAGAGTGAGACAAGAGTAGAGTATATAGAGTGAGCCTAAGAGTACAGGACTACCTGGAGTAGACAAGATCAAGACTACAGGACCAGTCAGATCTTGTACACCTATATATACTAAACTACACAAGAGCACTCAGGGAGTATGAGCCACTAAGAATAATAAGCCATGAAGAATGAAAGAAAGGAATGTCAAAGATAAAGGTACAAAGAATGAAGGGATGGACAAAGGGTAAGAGACCATAGAATGATACAAAGAATGAAGGGGTGGTCAAAGGAATGGAATGATGAAGTAAGGAAGGGTAGTAGCAAGAGTCAGCACACATATAGTCTATAGACAGCACCCCTGAGAGACAGAAGTCCTGAGTTCTGGTACAGAAGGGTGCAGAACCCTCAGAACTGAAGGTATGAGAGCAGAGAACCATAACACAGAGTGTCTACATGTAGGTCAGATGCATCAAACCACACTTTTTGACTTGTCATTTTATAAAATCAATAAAATATTTAATTTTTACTTTTTTACAAAAATCACATTTTTAATTTTAAGCTATGATATTTGGTACATATATACTTCCAACTTATATAAATATAAATAATAACTTTATTTTATAGATTATCAAAGTAGAATTGTGTATAAAAAATTATGAAGTTTGAGATTAGTGAATTTGTATTTCTAGTTTATCAAAATTATATTATTAGCAATATTCCTTGTAACTTACTTAAAACTCTGCATAAACTTCTACAAAAAAACACACTGATAAAAAATATACTATTACACAAATTTACAGAATTATAGCTCAAAATATTGACTATTTTAATTACTATAAAGTATTCATTGTGTGGGAAAGAGTTTGGTTCACTCCAAGAGCTCAATTTCTTGTACTCTTCAGATTGTAAGTATAATAACTTGTTTTGTGCTCATTATATTGACTCAAAATTTTGAATATATATTTATTAGATGTTAAGCTACATAAATACAAAATTTTATGAAGTTTGAGCAAGAATTGAGGGAGAAATATTAAAAGTGTCCACATGTGGGTCTTGACCGCAAGGGGCGCCGCGACAGTAGGTCAGATAAACAGTTTTGCCTGGTCGTGGTATAAGTTTCCTGTGTCCAACTGTTGTAAAGGGGTTGTACCGTACGAACCTATGCCTGGTTGGCCAATAACCAGTACATAACCACCCTTATGTCCTGCGACGAATTTCCAAGCGCTTTGTACTCGTCTTGGATCATAAAGTGCGGTGCGAACTGCACGCCTGTAAGTTCTGTAACGCTTTTCGGCAAACGGCAGGCGTGTGAGATTAAAAAAAAGTAACTGGGTCTGATCCCTCATCCAGCACTGATCCCTCGTCCTCGTCCTCAACCGATCCCTCATCCGGCATCTTTTTGTTCGTCTCTTCACGAATCGTCGACAATAGATCTTTTCGACCCCAGAGATAGTTATGTATATTGAATAACAGTCCAGACTCAGCATCCTCTTCCTTTACCCCAAGCTTTCTAATGGACCTGTCTTCAAGTGTATGTAAGGATTGTATGCTTATCAACAACGAATTTATCCTAACGTACCGCCTGCCTCAGAGGATTCTTCTACACTAGCATGCGATCGTTTAGCAGGAACGACCCCTGCACATATAGATTAGTCAAACTTGTGAGAAACCGGCAAAATCTTGCAGACGGGCAGGCAGAGAAAAGAATACGTACTTGATTCAGCTAGAGCAATGACATCTATCATCTCCTTATCCCATGGCGCAGGTCCAGCAGTAAAATAATTGCGCAGACGATGCACACAGGCTGCATCAGCTGACACCTTGGATCATGTAGCCAATTAAGGGCACGTTCATGAAGTGTCCCTGATGGCTCAATATTCAGATCGCCAGGCTGCACGTCAATCATCAGTACGATGACAGAATAGGAGACGTAGAAGAAAGACCTTGTATAAAGGTAGCTTCTTGTGCTCCAAGTCATCTTTGTAGGCCGGCTGGTCATATATATCTCGCCTCAGGGCATCGACCTTTGCATCCTCCGGCATGAGAAAAGGATAGGTTTTAGTATTGTCACTGTTTAGCGGACAGATCACGTAACAAAGGCTATTTGGATTTGCGGAGGACATGGTGGATGAGAGACAATGTTGTGCAAATGTCTTACAGTACTACCGACAAGTTTACTTGGGCAAGTTCATTCACTCGGGTGTTCTCCAATTGTTGTCAATTCAAGAAGACATACTTCAGAAAGAAAGCTATTGTTACTCGTGTTGTTGGCACATAAGTTTTCTCAGAGCAAGCTCGGAAATCGGGATATATGATACACATCTAAGTAAGAAGAAAAGAAGAAAAGGGAAAGAAAAGAAATTCCCTTTTCTTCAGCGCTGTTCGCAGATGCGCCATCATGAAGTAATGATCTGGGTCAAAGCCTAGCCTAGCAATAGCCGATTCTCGGAGGGGCTTTAAAACGTACATGGAATGGAATCGGACGGAAAGAAAGAAAGGATACGGTACAGTAGACGGATGCTTAGAGAGAGACAGTTCGAAGAAAGAGTTTTAGGATTGGATGGATGGATGGAAATTAGAAGCGATTTGACGGCATCGACACGCCATTCCCGAAACTACCTGAGTAACGGTTCCGAGGAGAAGAGGGTCGAAGCGAGAATCCATTGTTTGAGGTACGGCGGTTACGACGGCCGTCCTGCGTGAGGCCGACATCGTCAGCATATGGATCGCCATGTCCGTGCGAACTCGGTGACGTTTGCCCGTGTTCGTCGACAGGGCTGAGCCCAGTTGACTTGATATTGTGTTGATCCACAGCTGTAGTGGTTGGCTCGCCGATATGTACTGTACGTGTGCGAGGTGAGTTTGACGATAGCGGTGTGAGAGGCACTCCACGGCCCGTTTGCGCACCTCGTTCTTGTTTGTATTGCCGCGGAAGGAGAGCGAGACCGGCGAAGTAGAGGATGGGAAGAATCTATGTTGTTGAAATATGAAAATAGAAGAAATATTTAAAACGCGTCAGAACATCTATCGCGGGGGAATTTTTACGTACGACAACCCAAGCGATCCAAGCACGGTTCACACTCGCTGGTGCATCCCTCCCGCCGCGAATTAACGGCCATTCTTCCCTGTATCCAGTTCGCACTTGGTAGAACGCAAGGCCAATGACGAGTAAACCCAAGATAGCGTGCGCGTAATTCTGTGGCGGTCGCGTACGTGTGCCATCCGCTTTCGGTGGAGACTTGACGAAGTGGATAATTCCACCCAAAGCGCATTGCGCGAAATAGAGCACAAAGATCGCAATTCCCCAACGCTTGTGGTCGTCGTTAAGATGATTCGCACCTGCTTTACTGACAGCGGCAATACCAAGAGCAACCCCTATCACAATAAGGGTGCCCGCAACATAGAACTGAATAATCCAGTGGCCCTTGAACCAGTTGGGAGTGAATGTACGGAACCAACGCGCGAGCAGAGCACCCGCGGGTAGGAATATCAAGAATGCAATACCGAGGAGCACGGCATGTGCGATTACCATCTTCTGGAACGGCAGAAGTGGCGGTGAAGAGGCGGATCCCGAACCACCAGAAGCGGGATCCGTTGTAGAGCTACCTGAGCTCAGAGACTTGGTCAGATCGAGGGAGAGGGTACCAGAGGAATCATGAATCTGCAAATTCGCCGACGTCGAGGAGTCTCCGGGATTCGTGCTTGAGAAAGCCCATATAATTGACTGTTTCGTGTCCGAGTTTGCCTTGAACGATACCGAATAAGCGTTATGTTCAGGAACAAAGTCCGTTCCAGATACATACCGGAATGCTGTATCCGAATTTGGGATTTGAGTCAGAGGTTGAAGTAAGGTTTGACAACCAGGTCGCAGTACGGGGCGGAGCCGAGTCGACAGACGGTTCGACTTCTCCAGTTGCTTTTCGCTGAGACAGGGTAACCGATCCATCCGAGTTAGTCCACATAATGACCATTGGTGAATTCGCCATCTGCGAACCGAAGCCCCTGCCACAAAGCACGTCAGTCAGAGAGTTCAAGACTGCCATATCAGATGTCAAAACGTACATTGCCATCCATCCAAGTGACTTTGAGCCCGTGCTCTGGAGGACGTATTCCACTGTCGAGCCATTTACGACCGCGGAGACGCACATTAACTGAAACATTCAATTAAAATGAATGGCCATAAGCGGTTGCGAAGCATCCAGATTAGGGAATGAGCATGGTGTCGATCATCATGAGAGGCGCCAAAGGAGATTGGACATACGCTGCTGCATTGACTGTCACCAGTCAGTCCAGTAAGGTCACCAGCAATGGCACTCGAGCTCGTGCTGCTCGCAGCGGACGATGTGGCCGATGGGGTAGATGACGAGGATGAGTTACTATGCCCATGGTGATCATCGTCGTCGTCCTGGTCGGTGTCGGGAGGGCGTGCCACCGCAGAGAGCACGACAGGCAGGAGCCCGTAGGCCAGAAGAGTAGACAGGCGCATTGTGGGGCGGTAGAAAAAAAGTGATCTAAAAGGAAGCCAGTAGTTTATATAGTAGGAAGGGAGGTAGTGCACTCGGGGAAATGGTAGTAAAGGAAAGGCAGGGGAGGGGAGGAGTCTAAATTGACCAACAACGCATGGGGGACGAGTGACGACGCTAAGATATATGGGCTATCGGTTGGCGCCTCATGTGTCGATGATGCATCCTGTGCTTATGATTTTGTCAAACTGTAATTGGTCTTGGAGAACACTACCGTTTCTGGTGGTCGATTTTCATCCCTAGATAACACAAATGACACATACACATAAAAAGATCCCGCCCACTGGCTGGCCCCTCGCTTGGCCGAAACTCGATCCGGATTCTTGTCATGTACGCATACAGCAACGCTCAACCTAGACGCAAAATTGGTAACTTCTCTCACACTCTCCGCTCCTCTGGCACCGGCTACGAGTACATCCGCAGTTCTCTTGAGGATTTTTTGTCCGCAGTAAAGGGACAAGGAGAGGCGAAGGCGCAATTTGCTTGGGTTGCAGCGCATAAACTTGAGCGATCATCTCGGCATGAGAACATAACCCCGCTCCGGTAGGCACATAGCTCGCATTCGTTCCCACCTCGATCGACTAATTACAGGCGATGATATGCAAGACAACTAAAAAATGGCCAAATCCCCGAGAAGCTGGATCAGAAGTTCAGAACCCTCGAACGAGGTCAAGAGAATTTTGGAGCACCGCAAGATTGGACGACTTACTTCTTTAGTTAGATTAGCTCCTGCTCTCTCTTTTCCTTTTCCGGCTATCACGCTGATCGGCCTGTGCACCGCTTCCTCCATTGCTCAGACGTGCCAACAAACTGAGTCCGCCACCGCCGAGACCACCTCTGGGGTCATTATTATTGGCGTCACCATTACGGCGCTCCGCAGCACCTTTTATCTTGATTTCGTCACTTATGGTTTGACTGGAGGCACCAAGGCTACCAATCTCCATGGGCTCTGCAGCTTTATCTATAAAAACATTCTGTTGTGAGTCCTTTTTTAGTAGTCGTCCTTTTCTGCTTGGCGTTAAGGAAACTGATGATGATATCGCATTTCCTCCGTTTGTAGAGTTCATTGATGTGCGCGACCTCGATGGAACAGCGTGTCCCACGATAACGGAAGCCGGTGCTTCCTGCGCCAATGTATGACCGTGAGAAGCTTGGCTTCGTTGTGTTCCTATTCGACACAGCCGTTTAGACAATGAAACTCCCGGCAAAAACAAATAACAAAAACATTAAAGCACCCCCACTTACCAGTCGCGCCCATACCGTCACTCATCGTTCGAGAAAGCAGGTCTGCACCACTTTTCATTTTAACACTGCCATGCGCAGTACCAGCACCACCAGCTGTAACACGAGGGCGGGGATGAATCGCGCTGACAACGTCCCTTTGCGTCTTCGCTCCGTCCTTCGACGTAACCATCAGTGTCGTTGAAGATGAAGATTTTTGCGCTGACACCGCCGACGATCCCAGGCGGCTCAGAAGCGAAGGGACACCAACGCCGCCACTGCTTGACTGCGGATTGGTCGCATCAATTTTGAATTTTTTGCGCGCTTGGCTCGGTGATGCAGTAGCGTGTTCGTCGCGTATGTCTATGTCTACGTCTCCTGCCTCATCTCCGTCAACATCCATACGTTCATCGTTGGCTGGCGTCTGCGTCCTCCGTATCGCAATTGCGGTTCCTTGCTGATGTCCGCTTGTTCCCGAACGTGGAACGGTCCTTCCTGTAGACAGAATTCGGTTTGCCAATTTCGCCGATCCACCAGTATCTACTTGTTTCACCGTGTCGAAATGGTTAGCAGGCTTCCCCTGGGTCGTGCGGGAACTCGAACTCGAACTTGTCGGCAGCGCGCCACTGGCTGAAACGAATGCCTTGCTGCTTCGATGTTGTTCGATCGCGTTGAGTAAACTCTGTCATGAAAAAGTCAAATAGAAGACGATTATGTCGGAATGCTGTCTTTCCATATTGAAAAAGAAATGAATGTAGAAGAAAAAAAGGAAATATGGTTGACAAAAAAACTCTCAATCGATGTCAACGTCTCGGACCCGAGCAATAGATAAAGGCCCATAAATAAAAATAATAATAGCCTAGAAATTTGATTCAAGCCACAAGAAATGGAAGCACGGGCGATACGAAGTAAAGAGTAAGAATAGATTGGGGTGAGGGGGAGACGAAAACAGAAAGTAGAAAAAAAGAGATTGAATAAGGGAGGGATGACGCGAACCCTTGATAATTCCATGACCATAGTTTGATTGGCTTCGCTACTAGAGTAGTTTTCGATCGTGTTCTCCCGATCTTGTTCTTGCTTCTTCTTGGCATTCGAATTGGATATGTCGTTAGATGAGATAGATGTGGATGAGGGTAAACCGGCGATTAATTCGTGAAGTGCGGCCGCAAGAGAAGGCGAAGCGGATGTTTTCTTCGGGTCTGAGAAGACCTTGGAATGGGTTAGTGTTAGAATGTTATGTATTTGTTCACCGATCAAGCGAAACTCAAACCTGTTGAAGAGCGCGCAGGATAACGAGACATAGGCGAGACGTTTGGCTGTCCCAAGAAACCGCAACGGCTTTCGTCAACATCTAAACTCGCCTAAATGCATTAGCCGACAGAGTAAGATGGGATACGAGTCATAAGACATACCCTAAGCACCATTGGTGCAGCGGCAAGCAGTTGAGCTTGGACGATTGAGATGTTACCATGATGATATTGCAGAGCCGAGTCGAACGCACTACAAAAACATTCAACAAACTTTAGATAAGTTTCACGGGGAACGTGTTGCATTCGTGCGTCATCGGAGACGGAGAACACCTCCATTATCCGCAGCGGATCCGCCATTGAGGACAGACGAATGGAACCAGAGCGGATATTTGGGGTACTAGCAGCAGGTAATATCGGCATAGTCAAACGTGTTGCTTGTTCCAGAAGAGTTGAAAGTTTATCGATGTCAGGCCGCTCTGTCTCCAATGAGGTACGAATAGTCCCGAGAATGGTGTTGAGGATGGTGTTTCCATCCTCTGTCGAGCTCTTCTGAAGGGAGGGAAGGTTGCAGATGATGTCAGAGATAATTATCCGTACTTCCGACGGCGAGGCTTGAGCAATAGTCTTATCGACAAGTGTTAGCAGGAGTAGGTAACAAGAGACGACATGGACTGATTCACCCCAAGCATGCCGTTCAACAGAATTTCCTCCACTTGACGTTCCTTCACGACTCTCGCTATGCATACGCGATACTTCTCTGCGATAAACTGGAGTACCAACCCTCGTAATCGTATCCGGAGCATGCGTTCTTCGCCATCTACAATGTCTCCCGGATCGGAGCTACATTGATCGCAAAGCACGCGTAAAGTACTCCGCGGATCCAAGTCGATATGTTCTTGTAGAGCACGTTTGATTGCTGTCAATTCACGCAGGTCGTCTAAAATTGCGTGAGCTGTTTAGCTGCTGGAAAGTCCACTGAGCAGTAGTATACGCACCGCTTTGCAACAACTGAACAAGCACGTCAGCATTGCGTAAAAGCCAGTTCCTGTCTGCTCTTGACACAGATGTGATGGCCCCGTATCCAGAAATTCGAATCTTTCAAAGTGGCAATAAGCTCGGCATCAGTGAAATTGAACAAGCATTTGCAGTGTCAAAAGAGGAATGCACCTCCTGATCTTGGTCTTCACACATGTCATAAATTGTGTTTATCGCTTCATCTTGGAGTTCGGGGAAGTCAACGAAGAAATCCTTGACTCTCTCCGTAACCAGTTTTTTGCAGAAAATATCTGCATCAGGGTCCTTGGCGAGGTCAAGTAGACGTCTGAAAGCATCTTTCCGCTGCATCAAAAAGTAGTAAATCAGTGTCAGCCCCGTTAGAGTAGTAGTCTGTCGAACAGAGAACGATGTACTGACGAAAGAGCTTTTTCTGTTAGGGTCTCTTTCAGCACGTCTGAAGAGGTCTTTTAACTCGAGCTGCCGGGCATCCGTACGCGTTGGCATCGAAGAGAGATGCGGAAATGGATAGCTGCGTGAATCAAGCACGTCTCAGGACTCAGGAGTTCCACTACGGAGTGTGAAAGTACACCCAGCTTATGTAATTATATTCATTTCCATAGTCGGTGCCGCCGCTAAGTAGGCTTAGCCTGCAAGGTGCATCAGGGCAAGGTAATGCGTGCCTTGACAAGCAACATCGACCATGTCTGAGAACAAGCTCCTTCACCGTGTCCTCCGACGGCTGGCATCATGGGCCGTTTGGTCTTTCTTTTCAGAAATACACATCATCGGCGAGGAGAACGTGCCAGCGGACGGCCCTATGATTGTGTGCGTGTCTTTCACTCATAACCCGTCTATCAAAGTAACGACCAAGCTGCACAGTGTCGCAACGCATCATAACATGATGCTTGACCCAGCCGTGTTATGTGAGTATGTGCTACAGAGGTCATTCGGCGCGTCCTAACTTGTCCGAGCAGCAACCAACTTTCCTCGCAAACGAATGCTCAATTATTGGACTAAGGCGTCTTTATTTGCAAACCCCCTACTCAGACACGTTCTCCTTAGCTCAGGGAATATACCCGTGGAGCGAAAGAGCAAGGACAATCGTGTCCTCTTCAAGGGTACCTTTGAGGTCCTTGCACGTGGAGAGGCTGTTGCTTTGTTCCCCGAAGGGACCAGTTACACGGAGCCTCGGATCATGCAGGTTAAGGATGGTGCATCGTGGAGTGCACTGGAATACATGAAGTGGGCAAAGGAGAATCCAGACAAAGCTACCTCAAAGGAGCTCGTGGTAGTTCCAGCAGCAATCGTGTACACTAACAAGTCAAAATATCGCAGTGAGGTGCGTGTGCATTATGATGACGAAAAAGCTCCCCTTATTGAATATACGCCATTAGGTCATTATTGAGTGCGTGTGTTAGGGGGCTATTCGAGTATGTGCTAATGAGAGACAGGTTTGGAGAACCAATTTCCTTGAAGCAATATGAGGCTCAGTTCTTGTCGCCAATCGAAGGAGAGCCTCGTATAGCTGTGAAGCGGTTAACACAGCGTATCGAAGCGGAACTGATACGCGCAACAATTAATGCACCTGACTGGTGTGTAACCAGTCGCAGCGTTTAAGAATGCAAATTGACTTTTGACTTCGACAAAGGGATACATTATACGTGGCACGCATGGCTCGCAGTTTGCTCTGGGAGAAGAGCAAATCTATTGACCTTAACGACTTCGTGACCATCTCTCAGACGTAAGTACAATTCATCAGCTTTGGTGATGCTGTCTATTCTGAAGCTGTGCAAAGGCTCGTCGACCTTTTCTCGACCCCAGATGCCACTACGAATACAACGCAAGTAAAACGCCGTCTTCTTGAATATTACTCCCTCCTACAATCATCCAAGCTAAATAACTCCGCACTATCTTCACTTCCTCTACCCAAGACACTTGACCCGCGCCGTCCGGAGCCCTTACCATCTCGTCTCCGTACGCTCCTCGTGTTATGGCGGGATACGCTTTCAGTACTCGTCAGACTTCCATTCTTCCTTTTCCCCCTCCTAGTGCACCTCCCAGCATACTTGGCATCCCGAGCCGCTGCACGCCTCGTTGAAGACGAAGAAGAAACTCAAGCTCAAAACAAAGTTGTTGTCGGTCTAATTTTAATGATTATGATTTACCCAGCTGCGTTTTTGTTCCTCTGGGCGTTGTTTTGGTATACTCCCGTTGGTGCTGTCGTTGCTGCTACGACTGTATGGTTGTTTGCTGTGTACCACGTGAAAATGATTGACAGTGAGTTAATATAATATATAAATCTTATCAAATATTTATTCACTCATTCATATTCTCTTACTCTCAGATGTGTATGACCAGTACGATTATGGCATCATATGTTTGTCGTGTGCTGCTTATACTAACCTCACTCTTTTTAACAGCGCAAAACAGTTGGTTGCAGCTTGGCGCGTGTTGGTCGGGATATGGTCTCCGCGAAAGACGGAGTTATCGATGACGGCGTTGCAGCAATACCTAGTTCCAAAAGTCCCGCCCGAGAGTCCCTGGATAGACAAAAACAAGAAGGTCAAACAACAACCAGAATCAGAATCTCAGTCGCCTCTTGGACAAGAATCATCATCTGCAGGAGCAGGAGCTTCTTCCCTCTCTTCTACAAGCGCATCCCTAACACCAACACCGAACGATAAATTCAACTCAAAAGGACGCAAGCGTAGACCACCTACACGTCGACTCATCCGACACGTCCTTCGCGCCCGCTCACAAGCCGTCCACGCTCTCGCTGCGTTCTTTGCTGAACTTGAACGGCAGCCGGAAGGGAAACGGGTTTATGCGAGTGCGCATCTCGCTCAGCTTTACGGTGGTTTTTCAGAGGCTTCTCCGGATACGAAGGAGGACCCTACCTCTCCTACTCCTCCAAAAGGCTGGCGCTCATCCCGCGAAGTCCTAACCTTCCTCCGAACTCGTGGTGCACGAATCGCAACTCTCGAATCACAAATCGCAGAAGACTACTGGGCAGCTTCTTCGGGTGCTCTACTGAGTGACGGTGACGTGGAGGGAGAAGGTGGAGAAGGTGAGACGGAGTATAGCTATAATAGCTATAGTAGCGATGCCCAGGATAGTGTGAAGGAGAATGAGGGGGATGAGGATATAAAGTGGGTTGCTCCGATGATTCGATGATCTGATTGGTGATTTGGTTTTTGGCTTTGCTTGGGGCCGGGAGGTATTTACGTTGGTTGGATTATTCTACTCTACGTACTGTTTTCTTCTCTCTATTCATGATAATGATAATGTTGTCACGACTGGTTGCGATTAAAGCTGCTAATAAAGCCTTTTTACACATAAAAGATTTGACACTTGCATATATCGTCCGTTCAAATCACTAGCTTATGTAGTCGACGCTTGCACACCCACATATTTAACAGGCTTAAGTTGCATTCAAATAATATATGAACCCATTAGTCTCTTCTCGATCTTTATTTGAAGTGCTCCTACAGTCTTTGAGGATTTGTATTCCCTAATAAATAAATTTTTATTTTACTTTTCTACTTACTTGGCAAAAACGGAATGAAACGCCGAGACTGGGTAGGCATTGTCCTTAGAGCAATCAAGAAAATCCGCATGACAAGGAAGATACACAATTCGCGTTTATAACCTCGCAAAGAAACTCCCAGACTCCCCAACCCGTGTATCCACCTCTGCCTGCTCTCTAACATGACTACAAATCCTCTCCCCCTTCTCAACCCACCAACGTTCAGCCTCAGCATCCGCATCGTACCCAAACTGTTCTGAGTTCTTCCGCGGGTCAGCCCACTGGTTACTATTCCCTTCTCCATTGAATTCTCCCATCGGAGACTGCATCATTTTATCATTATATCCCTCACGCGATGTGATCCCCCACTTAGAGCACTCGGCTGCCATAGCGGCTCGCATACTCGCATCTCGTTCTTCTTGTGCGGATCCGTCGGGAAGGTGGAAGATATGTTGGTTAAGTCGAGAGGAAGCTTGTGTTAAGGCTGTTCGTGTGTGCCGGAGGACTTCGTAACCGCGTAACATGGGTAGAAGTTCGGATTGGTGGGTAAGACGGGAGAGGATGTTACCTAGTACGACGGCGTCTTCTATTGCCATTGCTGCTCCTTGAGCACGGTATGGCTTTCCGAAAAGAAATCGTTAGGAAATAGGAATGATCTACGTAGTGAGAGTTTTTGAGAAATTGTTAGAGGACTTACGAGCATGGGATGGCACGAGTCGCCTAGAAGGACTACACGACCTTCACGATGGATCCATGTCGGGATCGGTTGACGATCCATTAACTTCCACTTCAACGTGGAAGGTACCATTGATAATAATTTCTCAACCCTAACAGGAACATACACCTATTAGCTTGGTATCATATTCCTGAATAAGAAAATGCCCGACCTTGGTTCCCACCCCGCAAAGTCCGCACGCATCTTTTCGGCGCTGCCTTCTGCAGTCCACGACTCAACGGAGCCGTCGTCGGGATGGATCAATACGAGATTATACTCGCGTTTGGCGCGCTTTATTTCTAAGGATGAGTTTATAGCTCGTAAATCTAATAAAAAGTCATTCACAATGCAATAAGCCATGATATGTCTAAATTAAAACCCGTCAATAACGCATGACTTCTTTAGTCGGCTAGAAACAAAGCACACCTTCCAGGGCCCATCCACGCCGTCATTTCCGGATTCTCCACAAACGGTCTCAATTCCGGATCTGCGAGCATCTTCTCTGTAGGTATGATCGCGCGATACGCCGCATCGCCCGTTGCAGTCGCCGCGGTCGGCTCCCCGAGTACGATTTCGCGCACCATGCTCTTCACGCCGTCAGCACCGACAATAAGGTCTGCGGAAATCGTTTCTCCGGTCGTGAGAGTTACGGAAGGGCGTGGTGCGGAGGGATTAACCGCGGCGACCGTGCTGTTTAGCCGAATTGTGGCGAATGGTTCAGCAAGGTCATAAAGTAGTCGATGGAAATCCGCGCGATGAATATGATAGTAAGGCGAGCCGTGGTCATTATCCATTACTTCACCCCATTTCGTCCATCCGACTAGTTCACCAGTGTTATCTAACAGAAAAGAAAAGAAAAAGAGAAATTCAGCGTGTCACTAGAGAAGTTCTTCGATAATATTAATAAATACAAATATGCTTCACTCACATCTTCGAAATGCAATAGCTTGTGGTTTCACAGCTACCTTCTTTAATTGGCCGCCCACTCCCCACCGTATAAGCAGCCTACTGACATTCGGCGTTACCTGAATGCCGGCACCAACTTCACCTATAGCAGGTGCAGATTCGACAATTGTGACTCGGTGTCCGGCTTGTCCGAGCGCGTGCGCAGCAGCTAAACCGCCTAATCCGCAACCAATAATAATGATATCGAGCGTTAAAGGCGCTTTACGTCCGCCAAATAGTCTCAGGTTCTGAGAATGGAGAGAAACACGTCAATAATTGTGATGAAATTGCAGTGAAATATCATGTGATATGATATGACACAGTGTCCAGACTGGACTGTCTGCTTACTTTACTGACGCCCACGGCTCTGGCCCCTGAATCGGCCTCTGCATAATGATCAGAAACGTCTACAGTCTGTGCTTGGCTCTGAATGAATACAAGGAGGGTCCAATCAAGTTCTTTTGATGACGTATACTTCTGCTGAGCTGAGAAAACGTACCATGGTTATGTTAGAGACTTTGAGCGTGTATTATCAGTGCAAGTTGAAAAGCCCAGCGACAAGACGAAGAGCGCTGGACGTCGTCGTGTTGTACAACGGAACTAAGCTGTCTGAGAGTAAGAGCACGGGGGTTGGTCCGTCCTTCGTTCTCATGACGAGGCTAATTATATAGGGAATGCGGGGCTGGGAATCGGACCATGGGATGAGCATAACGGCACAGGAATGAGGCCCTGCTGTCTGCTAAATAGTTAGTGCGAGATGAACCTGGAGAGCGTCGAGCGGTCACAAACGGCTAAACAGTACGATGTGATCGGCTCTGGAGTTAAAGGAGCTTAGTAGCAGAGAGTCTCAGTGGCCCAGTGGGTAGGTGTATTACTGCATTTCCTATCTAACGAATAGACGGTGCCGAGATGTTTACTCAGTTTACTGGAAACCTGCTGGAGACTCTCACACGCACACTTGTTGGCATCCAATACAATCAGGAAAAGGCAAGAGGACATGGATGTACTGTTGTGCACGTCGTCAGAGAGTTGTAGTGGATGATCCATTACTCCTACTCAATGTAATTGGGATGAACCTTCATCCCGTCATAACTCTGCACGTGATCTTCCCGTCTACCTCGGATGCAATCTGCGAAAGTGAGATTAGGTGTCTGATATGCTTCGTTATCTGTACCTCACTTCTGTGATAACATTCACAAAAAATATGGCTTTGTTTTACTTGCTTTATTACTCGTGCATGCGATTGTTCTCTTTGACAGTGCCAGACACTGTACTGGCACTCTTTGCTCCGATAAGTTCATTCTGCAAGCGCAGTAGCTCGTATAAACCGTTAGTCGACGCAACCATCATGGATATTCGCAAAGTCACTGAACCATACCAGTGCAGTACCTAGGCCTAGGTATGTAAATGAAATATCCCTGTCCGGATGAACCATTCTTTCTCCCCAATTGAAGACACAACGCTTAAACCATACAAACGAAGAGGCGCTAGACCTTCAACCAGTCAGGTCTCCTCCACCGATCACTCAAATGTCATTGTCAATTTAGAGGGTCATTACTATCATGTCTGGTATAATTATTTAGCCTACACTAATTAAGCAATACACTTTAACAGGACATTCGGCAAACCTATCTATCTAGATGATGCAGGCTAGGAAGCCGAGGTGAGACACGTCCTCCGTGCTTTGCGCATCTTCTCGATTTCTCCTCGGTTATTTATTTATACAGAACAATATTAATAGGTCTCGGATATAACGCAAGTAAGGATTATCCAGACTCGGGATGTACGGTAGGATGGGTTATTCCATTCCACTAAGATTATTCATTTATCTATTAAATGCCGGGTGCCCCATTATTGATGCTGGACATGCCAGATGGATCATGGATACTTACTGTACATCCGTGACTTGCAGAGAGCTCCCGCTACAACAGCTCGGTTTTGCGTCTTGCTCTCCAGGTCCTACCTATCCGATGAGCCTAGTGGACGATTCGCAAAAAAATCATTCTCATATAAAAAATTCGTAATTTTCTACTTACGATTCCTTGCTTTCACCAAACTTTCTATTCATCCTTCTCTGTTCTGGCTTCATTTCATTACAATGTCTACCACTACACTCTGACATACTGACTCAGAAACACAACGCGAAGGCATCCGACACAAGTTTCACAGACTGAGCACACAAGTCGAGATTCTTCTCGACAAAGCAGACCTTTCATCTTGTTCAGCATCTCTTTCAACATTCAGATTTAGAAGGATTCAGATTTAGAAGAAGAATCTTGTAACACAGATAACACCACTAACAGCTCTGGAGCTAAAGACTCGTCCTCACGTTTGCTTACTTCTTCTGGAAGAGTATCAAGTAGACAAGACTATACTTATATTAATAGGTGTGTACCTTTTGAATTCGTTTACTACTTACTCTGTGGTCTAGACCAACTAATACAAATAATGTTAATAATACTAACATCCTTTCAGTCTCTACAACCACAATCTATATGATGTCCTCAGCACAGGAGTACCCAAACCACGCGTCTCATACTCTCATAATATAAGCAATATGTTCCTGCATGTAAAGTTGTTATATAATAAGTCCTATATCACCTGCCTATCTCTCTGGGAAGGTTACGAATGAAATACTAGTTTTCACGTAGATATGTAAATGCAAGTATATCCAAACTATCCGAAATATACGAAAAATGTAATTCAATGAGTGAGAGACCGTCCGTACGAATACGTATAACAAACTAATTAAAGAGAAAGAAAAATGGGAATCGTTTCTGATAGCAACCAAGGTGACACATCGACCAAACTTCCCTCGAACCCCTCTCAAACCCCTAACCAGCTCGCACAACAAAACAAACAAACAGCAGCAACTACTTCTACGAAAGGACCGTTAAAGCCGTGATAAAAATACTGCTGATCAACAAAGCCATCCCGGTGCTAAGGCTGACAGGTAAAGTTACGCTGCGTAAAGCATCACTCGAAGTACCCGATCCCGAAGGTAAGGGTACACCCGTATTCGATACACGCGCTGATCCCGACCCAGCAGGTTGTTGTGCTGAAGTACCACCAAACAAAGACGCAGTAGTTGGCGCCGGACGAGAGGATGAAGATGTAGAAGTGAGCGAACCTGACCCAGATGAAGACGTAGAGAGAGAAGGGAAGAAGGGAAGAGACATACCTTGAGCGCCGCCTGCCGCGTCTGAGAGCTGGGCAAAGCCAACGGAGGGTGGGCTTGAGCGGAACACGGAGTATACGTTTTTCTGAATCAATTAAAAAAAAAACATCAGTTATTTAGCATTCTTCCCAATTCTCTTACAAGACGGCGAGACAGCTAGAAAAGAAGAAAAAATGACGACGACTTACAAGGAACGTATCCCCAATAACCCAACTCGGCACGTTACTACTCGGATCAATATTCGACCCAGCATCAAGGTCGAAGATCCCACCAAGACACTGGTCGCCTGCTCTGTCAATCGCACCCAAGTTGAAATCTGCGTTGCTGATTGCCCATGTTCGTGAACCGAAGTTGAGAGATACGGTTACTGTCGTGTCGCAGGCTGGTAGGGTGTATCATTAAAGTCACAGTCAGTCAATCAGTCAATCAGTCAATCAGTCAATCAATCAGTGTGATGGACATTGGACAGGGGGTACCACGATTTGGATTGAGGATTGAGGGATGAAGGATGAAGGATGAAGGTACAGTGACGAAGTGAACTCACGGAAAGAGAAGAATCCCTGTAACTGGCCTGTCTGGTTCTTCGAATTCGGTATTTGAGCGTAGATATTCGCAACAGCATCACTCGGTCCAGCAACAAGCGTCGTCCCCGTATCGATTGCAGCAAGAGCACCATTACCAGTCGGTATATCCACATTATTCCCCTGTACCGTAACCGCCTGAAGCGGAAGTAACCAGAAACTGGGTGTTACACCGCTAGGAATGTTAACGAAATCGATATCCCCGGTAAATAAACTTGAGTTGGTTCCGCCGAGTGTAAAGGCACCCCCGGGCTCGAGTGCTTGAGCTTGAGGGTCGTTGACGAAGCGTGTTAGCCAGAAAGACATTTCTGGTGTGGTAAGGTGGTTTCCTGAGGCGAGGGCTTCCCAGAATGGCATCGCTCGAGACTGCGCGATCGTTTGGAAGGCCAAGCCCATTAGGCCGGAAACGGGTGACACCAAGAAATTTGACGTGATTTGATTGACAAGCGCTACGATGATGGTGAGGCGAGTGCTATATCAGCCACCAGTGCCCTGTTTGATTAGTGAAGTGCTCACTGAATGTTTGGCCGGTGATGGTGAACCCTCCCATGCTAACGGTGTCCGTAGCAACTGGACCTGCTACCTCGCCTGATCCGTAACTAATTTGGATGCTCTGTTGGGATTGGGATAGAGAGGACGACGAGCCAGGGTTGAAGAGAGTGACGTCTTGTGGGCATGCGGAGCAATCGTTGTTCGCGACCCATAAGTCCGAGGAACCGGTGTCGAGGATGACATTGAAAGTTTGTGGTCTATAGGGACGGAAGGGTACGAATCGGGATAGGATGAGAGGAAGTAACAACGAAAGGAAATATAGAGAAACATACGGAGTACCGACGGTAATCGGAGCAAAATAACTCGAATCCGCCTGCTGGTTGGTAGTTTGTACGTTCGCAGTATTCTGGCGCTTACTCCTCGAAGGTAACGAGCCCCCAAGCGTTGGACGACCATATTTCTGACGAATATTATCTGCAACAGAGGCATAGTCATCCAAAGATCTGGGAGATATTTTTCGTCTAACGAGTGGGATGTGCAAAGGTGTTGCTGCCTCCTGGGCACTCGATGGAGCTGCAAGTGTGGAAGTACAAAGAGACGAAAGTACGGTAAGTGCTACGGCGGCCGCTGAAAGCGTCGGAACCATTTTGACGGAGAGGCGGCTGCGAGGCAGAGATTATGGTTGCCTAGTAAACGACCTAGTTAATGGTATAGGCCGCCGAAGTCGTCCAGACGAGACTGGGGAATTAAGAAGAGAGGGAGGAGGAGAAGGAGGAACGACGTCAAGCCGTGAAGGATCGCTTAAGAGAGGAGTGACACCAAGCTGATGCAACCAGGGGCTTCATGGGAAACATTCTCACAGGCCGCAGCACTTCAAATCATCCATTCCGCACAATTTCTCCACGCCACCTCTCAAGCCCTATTCTTGCGACAATTTTATTCATGCTTCAGTTCTATGTATTCTTCAACAAATTTGTCTTAAATATCGCAGGAAAGTGGGGCAAATCGCCATACAAAGGCACAGAAAGGCGTTGCTAGAGGCCATTATTCAAGAGCTTAGTATCACGTGCATCCCACGTGTCGCGGACTCGCGCCGCAACACTTGAACCTCTGACACAGTGATAGACTGATTCTGCTCCGCAATGTGCACATAATTAGCACGGTTCTCCTCCACAGAAGCACGTTCGTATCAACGTTTTTTCAGTGAAGCACAAAAACGTGTTTTGCAGCACATTTACGCATGTCCATCCTTTGCACAGCACGAAGTCCCGTATTGTAGCTCATGCTTGATATCTCGTCTCGGACTTCGACCACTCGCTCCCTCCGGCTGGCTCTCAGTACAAATCCAGTCTTGTCTACTGGCACAGCATACACTCTCTGTGGCCCATGTCCGTTCTGACCCAATTCACCAGCGTCCAGTATTCATAGAATGGACTATCCTACTGTGTCTACTCTACATTCTTTACTTTTTTTATTATCTATTTCTGTTAAGCTCGATGTGCATTCATCTAGATTCCATATACAAATGATCTTTCCTATCTGATCTAATTATCCTTTTTTTTATAATCTAAACTTGTTCTATTTCATTACAACTAGGACACCACACACAATGCACACTCTCTGAGATGCAAAGCAAGTTCACCATAAACCAGCAGAATCCGCCCAAGCTTGTGCTGATGCACTATCGCGTTTCTTCGATTCGGATTCGCGCCTCTGCGACTCCTTAACACATTCACGTTCTTTCTTCTCCTGTTCTATTTCCTGTTCCACTTCTGTGCGCCTTTGACGAACTATTTCTAGTCGCTCCTGCTCCTCATTGCTGGGTGTTGTATGGCAACTCTCGTAATGCTCGATTATTGCATTTAAAACGTTCAGGAACATGTACAGACGTCTTTTATGGCTTTTGCTAGATGTGCTTGGTTGGACTTTGATTTGAGAGACATTCGGGCAATTGTCGTCAAATACACAACGTATGATACCTATGAATAGTTTTTTTTTCCGTAGTCATTGTGAGTTTCATGAGAATGGTTATTTGGTTCTGCTAGAGACTACGTACGCTTAGTCTGAGCAGTATTTTTATCAACTGATTTCAATTGAGAAGATCCTGTCAATAGCATAAAATCTGTGTGTTGAGGTAAATTCATAGTGAATTATGGAACGAGTTTGATGTGTTTTAAGGAACCTTACAATCAAGTGGACCGCCTGCCAGTTTGTCTTTGACTGGCTCTTGGACAGTTTTTTTATAGCTGCTGTGAAACTGTTCTGTAGACATCTCTAGAGTACTTGGTCCATCTCCTTTAGAAGAATTGCCTGGTTGACTTGCGCCACTGGACCCTCTACCATGACTGACTTTCACAGTAGGTCCAAAACTAACTTTCCTCTCTGTCTCCATGATTCTTCTTTGTTCTATCCTCCCCTCAAGTTACATCTGCGAATTTATGTGTGCTTGCCGTGCGAACAATAAGTCGCCGAGGTTTTATAAATGCAAAATTATACTGCAATATTCAATACACCTGATGAGCGGTCCCAGCTCCACAAGCATTACAAAGTAACGGCTCCTCTGATAACATCTTCAAAGAAGTCATTGACGTCCTGTCGGCTTATGTTAGTACTGGTATGTCTAGTCAGTGTATACTTTCATCCTCTCCAATCGATTAGTGTGCTTTTGGAAGACGGAGAAGGTGGGGAGCACTTGGGATGCAAAGTAGTTGAGATACAGACATCCATATTGAGACTGATTATATCATTAAGATTGCAATTAATCTCTCCAAGAATAGTAGTAGCCATCAAGCCATTCGCCACTTCAGTTGCATTATACAAAGAAGATTACTATGCCTTTCTTACCAGTGTTTTGTAGATAGAAGGGTAATAACCTGTCCTGTTTCGTTTACTTACTTTAAATTATAAGTATAGCCTGAATAAGAATGACTATGTCTTAGCTGTAATGCTACACTATTTGCTAGATAGGAATGAATGAGAATAATTTTAACTTTTATAGTTCAGTATACATAGACACTTTTATCTACAGTTTGTCTGGCCACTTGTAAATTTGCATTTGTGTGCAAAATTAATGATTATAAGCGATTTTCATGGTCCAGTTTTCCACCGCCCAATGTAAGCTTCAACATGCAGGATCAAAACATAATGAACATTTAAGATTTTAGGTCATTCATGAAGTTTGGTGAGAATAACAACTACTCCTAAGGATGCAATAGCATCTTATCTTTTCAAAATGTCACATGAATTTATACTGTCCAAATGTTTATAGTATCAAAACACAATATTGCAAAAAGTCCATAACCACCATTCAGTTCATGCTTGCAATAACCGTATGATTCCCTCCGTCCACAATAACGCTTGAAGCGCTAACATCTGCAGTCTTCCCATCGACTTGCACGTTTGATATATCACCAGGAATATTTATGATGCCCTTAGTTCCCGAAGGCGTCGAGACACTGATTGTGATCTTCTGTCCATTTATCTCCCATGATGCGCCAAACCACCCGAGTGCAGTTGCGAATCCTCCCTGTGCAGCAGACAGGCCACTAAAGTGGGGCACGAGAGTCCATGACGAACCCTGTGGTTCTGTAACTTGCAAGCCGAGGACGAAGAATGTAAGTGCAGAGGTAGGACCTGTGCTCCATCCGTGAGCGTGTGAAGTATACGAGTAGTCGTAATTGTACCCGAGGGCTGCACGATAACTATTTAACGATGATAAGTGGAATTCCCTAGTTGATTTGTGGTAGTGTGGCTAGATGCATACCCAAGGGATCCATTCGTCGTGTATCCTTCCAGTAATGTCGATTGTACACTGATGTTGGTGTAAAGCATATAGCCCCACTCACGACGAAGCAAGTCTAGTGCTCGTTCACCATTTCCAGAGATGAAATGTGCCTGCAACTAAATGATACACCAACATTAGCGCAATGTTACTACGGGTCTAGTCTTTTCTTTAAGAATGATTTATCCTACCTCAAAGCCACCGATAAAAGGAGAAATAGTATCCGGTGACTCAGGAGAAACAGCTCCGATATCATTCCAGTTTATCGTAAGTCCTCGACTAATCGAGTCAGCTTGCTCAGGCGTATTGGTGAGGTTGAACAAAACAGCCAAGGAATTGCCATCTTGCGGGACGAAGTTCGTAGTTGCGTTATCCGTGTACATCCCCAATTCATCTGACCAGAACGCGTCGTTGAATGTTCCCTTGAGAGCTGAAGCGTTGGCTGACCATCCTGACGCAAGTTCTGTTTCGTTGAGATAGGTAGCTAGTTGTGCGCTATTCGTCAAGACCTGTAGAGTTGCACACATTGAGATGACAGATTCAGATTAGCTATAAATTAGATAGACCTTGTAATACAATGCATTTCCTTCTGAATCTTCCCCTCCTCGCGTAACCAACGACCAATCTGCTGTATCAGAAATGTTGATCAAGCCTGAAGGTTGAACTTTATTCTCAAGGAACTGAACGCCTTTTGTCTAATGAAATCTCTCTTATAAGCAAGTGCTCGGACGTGCATAAACGATTCCAGGGGCTTACGTAGTTCGTCCATAAGTTCTGCAAGAATGGCAAATCCTCGGTATACAAGAAATAATTATACATGCCAATGAGTGCCCAAGCGTGGTACGTATCACTCGCGACGTTCACGTCTCCTCCGACTGCGCATAGTGGAGGTCCGCAGTACGGTAGACCTCCTGTTGCTGGATCTTGGTACGCGTAAAGCGTTGCGAGTGAGTTTTTGGTTGGCAGGAGGTCGCCAGTCGAGACGAATGAAGCAGGGACTGCGATACCCATATCGCCTTTACACATGGAATTAGTGAAAGGATCCTTGTAATAAGTAAATGGTATGTAGTATTTACCGGGCCAAATGTCTCTTTAGAAAGAGATAGTATGAATATTGGGTGAAAAGTTAAAAGATTAGAATACGACGATACCTGTCGCGCTTCGCTCCATCAACAAAAACTGGGCTAGCGATACCAATAGTCGCATTATTTGCCCAACCTATATTCAATTGACAGCTAAAATGTAGTTGTTTATATCTGGATGAACAGCGGCACTAACCAGGAGAAGGTACATCAGGTTGTCTACCTTCATCCGCAGCAAGCACGTTAGTTTGAACAGTATACGCTCCCGCATACCAAACTTTCGTCAAAAAGTCTTCGTCATGAAAAACCGGGTCCTTGGCGTAAAAGTATCCTGCATAGTCTCGAAGATTCTCAACGTGAGGAGCAAACGTTATTGCACAAGAGACGTTGCTGATCGTCACGTCCGAAGCATCGTTCGAGACGATCGTAAGGAACCGGAAGCCTCCTCGGAGACGTTCTTTTGGAATTGTCCAATGGCCTGAAGGGAGAGGCGCGGGGAGTGGTAAGACACCATCATAATTCTCACTCGCAACAGACCGAACAGAGTCATCAGAAGTCGTCGGACTGATAAATAGTGGTGATTCCGTGAACGAAAGTGATAATGAACTATTTTCGGATGTGTGAGAGTCGACGTTCAATGAGATCAATCCTCCGATCTACATGTTAAGTTAATGTTAGTACTTCTAAACTACATTCAAACAAAACTTGATTGCTACCGCACCTCCTTCCCAAAATCCAGCGTAACCCACGAATTATTCCCAGAAATCATAGCTCCATCCGCCTCCGTGAGAAGTGCCGAGGAATTTTGGATTGTGCCTTCCGTCTTGAAGATCGCCGTAGGACGAACCAAGCGACTCTCTGGAGCAAAGTTGAAAGCGTCCCATGGACCGCTCGGAGCAGACGCCAAGGCCAGACACGCGTGGAAAGGAAGAAAGACCCAGTACTTTTTGGTGAGCAACATTATTATGATGGAGCGCTCAAATTCCAAGTACTAATGGGAAGCATATTTTATATGAGTTTCGTATAAGACAGGATTGTTTAATCACGAGACAGAGTAGTGTCTTCGTGTTCTAGGTGATGCGGCCCGTTTTTATATCCTGTTTTCAGTACTTTGGTTATAGAAGACATAAGAGTGATCATATGAACTTGGAAGATTGGAAGAAGCAGACATACCATCGGTTCCGCAGAAAGAAACTTGCCATAAGTAACGTTGTGGCGGTTATAGAAGTGCGATCAGCGGGCGGAAAAGATGAATATTCGGGCTAGAAAGATGCAGAAACACCACGTGCCATTATTCACACATGCGCAACTTGGACGAGATGGGAAACAGGCGGTACAATCCGACAATGTCGTCATATACTTCCGGTCATGAGGCTATAGATTTTCCTCACAGGAAGGGAAGAAGCTCATACGGATACAATGATCACGAGAAGACGATCCGAGTTTGATGAACCGAGTCAAAAAAAAATACACACGCAAAAGTTAATACACTGTACTTCGGCACCGTCCAGAACAAAGCAGAAACATAATACAGGTAGCAAGAATCCCTTGGCATTCACAGTACATTCCACAACTGATTCCTGTCACTGCAGTTACTTGGAAGAATCGAAGGTCGGGAACTCGCTTATCCTCAGCTTTGTCGCCTATAACATAAAACACATCATCAGCACCAGAATAAACACTGAATGACAATAAATAAAGATCTTACCCCAAGTGGCCAAAGTGTAATCGTCGTCGCATTTCCAGTACAAGTAACATTCTGTGGCGGGTCACTCGCAAACGTATCACCCGCAACACTCCACTCAATCGGGCACGCAGTGACACTCATACTAAACGGTGGTAACCCCGAATCGAAAACCGGAGAAGGCAACGTTCCTCCCTCTGGTGTCCCCGCATTAAACTTCAGAGTCTTAGGATCAATAGCATACTGCCAAGCAGCAGTAGCCTCCATCTGAACATCAATTGCACGCGGCTCGTCGGCATTCTGTGCGATGATGGTCTGGTTCCGCGGGATATCGAAGGCATAGTTGAGCGGACCGCGATGTACCGCTATGGAGTTGTTTGGTCGGTTCTCTAAAGATCACGAGTCAACTTCCACTTCCATATGACAGAAAAGATCAATATATTGTTTAGAGAACGTACCGATAGTAATCTCCGACGGAAGGTTTAGCATAAACTTCGAATTGCCAGCAGGGAGGTCAACGGAAGCAAGTCCGCTGCTATCGGCCTCAATCCCTTTCGCGTCACCTCCATTCAAAGAAATCGTCGCTCCCGAAACCCAACTCGGAATACGAACTAGATAGGTAAACGCTTTGTCCGCGGAGACTGATACTGAGACTATATCGCTGAACGGATAAGTTGTATCTACGCTTGCGGATACTGAGTTGTCTCCTGCTAGAACTGTGCGAGCGTTGACCGGCCCGAAGTAGACCTGGACAAGGCTGGCATTGTCCGGTGTTTTCACAAATGAGTTTGCTATGAACTTGGGGAAACCTTGGCCGTGATTCACGGTACAGCACCTAAGCGAACATTCAGGTCTACCTTCAGACGGGAACAGTCAGACATACGGATAATTGGGCTACAATGAGTAGACGCGAATAAACAATGATTCCGACATCGGATGTAGTACAAACGCTACACACCTCAAGGCCAAAAACATTTGAATATGGCCCGTCATTGGGGAAAGGATTCCTGAGTCGGACTAAATGAGCTAGATTCGACGTTCCCCTGTGATATTACTCACGGATTCATATTTTGCGCTGCAATTTGGTTCTGCTCTTGCAAATATTGTCGGGACCACATGTCTATACAGTACAAAAGGCTTGGAAATAAATATCGATAGAGTAAGACCAAACGTACCTCCTGTCAATGTCGCCGGAAGCGCATTATATGCAATCCTTTCGACCTATTATGGGTTATTTATGAAACAAGAAAGTCTAGAGGACAGTACTTACCCGATCTGCATACTTCAAGTCGCCAATGACCTGATAAAGGTAGGAACCACTACAAGTATAGATGAGTCATGGACGATTGACGGATTGTAGAGCACTTACGAAAACATGGTTTCCTATTGTGCCGCGTCATTTACAAATAACACTTGAATAGTTCACGGCTATACTCACCACAACTAGGCACAATTCGGTCCTGGACTAAAAAGTTAACAGTATCGCTGTCGATCTTGATAGGCACTTACCCCCGAATAGCTCCTAAACCGGCGAGGTATTCATCCGCAGCAAATATTCCACTTGGACGACCGTGGTATTGGAACAACAAGTCCCATCCTTCACTTGCACGATCAAGGTCTTATGGAATATAGAAGGTTAGATCAATGAAAACAGGTAGCACTACCTGAAATAACCATGCCTGATTGATTATGCGTGAACCTATACGTTGACGGAAGAGCTTTCAAGCCTTCTGCCATGTTGACGCCGTGCCATGTCTAATAAAAATTCAAAGTCTATCAGAGAAGATAGAGAAAGAGGAAAGTGGGGAGTTAGATCTTACGAGGACGGGGAAAGGATTTTGTAGGTGTTCGACGGCCGTTTGTGGGAAGAACTAGAGGATGTCCTTTAGACTAGGATGAAAAGTACTAGCGAGTGGTGATTACCTCCTGCTTAAACACGTCTATTTCGTATAAGTCAGACGAGAACAACAAAATAGCCGATCGAGAAGGAACGTACCTTCCCATGGGTCACCATTCGCCTTCAACAGTTGCATCGTTTCAATCAACATGTCTTCATTCCCGCTCGGATAAAAGTCATACAACCTATTTCGCCCTCAATAAAAAATTCGAATTTGGATAAGATATGGCAGGAGACGTACCATTGAAGAGCCATGACGAAGTCTTCCCATCGCGTCTTAGTCCAGTCCTCTAGACCCTGCCCATTCTTGAGCATCGTATTCGCGAGAGTGACGAACTTGTACAATGCTGGAACGACTCTGTCTGCAAGCGTCGCGTTATTCTCCACCATTTGCATAGCGCCGAAGAGGTAAGGATAGCTACAGCGGTAATAAATGAATTAGCTTCTCTGTTCTCTACCGTATGCTAAATACGATGAACTTACCGACCCCAAAGGAACCTTGGCTTGCTGTACATATTTCCCGATAAGCATGAGAGTTTACTGACAGATAATGTACTTGCCTCGAATCGAAAACTTCTGGTCCAAGCCACCCGGAGTCGTCCTGATTATCAAGAACAAAGTCCAAGAAGTACTGTGTTTGATTCTGGACCTCAGCAGAGTCGATGAGCACGGCGGCAGGAACCATCGCGTTCTGGCAGAATAAAGAATGGTAAACGTGAGAACGACATTTAAAAAAAGGACCGAGCATATGACTGACAAACCAGTAGCTTCCAGCTAAGCAGTATCATAAGATAAGCTGGTCTGAGGAACTCCTTAATCCAGGGAATACTTGCCTTCTTCCAAGTTAGAATAGTACGAGTCTCCACCTGAAAAGTAAACCGTGTGATTATTGGAAACAATCTCGCAAGAAGTCACATACCTAACCAATCGGTCTGCGAAACACTACATACACTAGTTAGAGCTGACGACGGGTCTTAACGGCATAATACACACTAATGGTAAAACTCATGTTCGTGTCCCCAGAGACCAGTCATTTGCACGTTAAGCTTGAGAATACATAGATACATGAGCAATGGTAATGAAGAAATCACGAAGATTAGTGCGCCTACCTGATTGTGAAGCCATCCTGTCGGCTTAACAGCGCCTAACGGTAGATTGAGGAACTTCTTCGCAGCGACTAAAGCAATGCCATCAGCCAATGACGTATTCGATGCAGATCTACAGGCAACCCACGTCCGGTTTGCGCGGTCACAACAGTCGAGGCTCCCAGGAGTGAACACACTAAGGCAAGAGACTGAAAGACAAACATTGTCGTCTGCGGAAAAGACTTGTAGATTCCTCTAGCTAGACCTAATGCATTTATAATGTCTACCACATCAATCGGGCGGGCCGTAGCATCAGATGGACATATCGAGAACATAAAGTGATTGAGGTAGTGTGATGCACCTGATCAACGCAGGACAGGAGAAGAGCGGAGCCGAGATGAATGGGTCGGGAGGAGGTGCACATGCGAGAGAGCAGAGCACATGGAGCGAAGCACAGAAGAAGCCAGCTTTATTCTGCACATTTCCGAGATTCTTTCTCGTATCTGCATGCGTTCATTCACTATTTTTCCCCACAGGAGATGAAGATGTGCACAGACGGGATCGTCGGCATTAAGCGATGCACGTGATGCATCTCCATTAGGCAGCCTGCGTGCACAGCGCACGGGCCACCCACTGAGGCTATATAAACCTCACGCTCTCGTATCTTGGTTCCCTTAGAACATACTCAGCTAGGATCTATTTTATAGTGACTAACTCGAGTCTCGCATGTTTACACATGCCACATCCTTCATATCCAGTCGATGACATCCGCGCCGCCTCGTCATACCGAGAACTATGCTAACTTGCAATTTTTTTGCAGTTGGCTCGAGGACGTTTGGCTTGTTTTTCCTGCTTGCGATTTGCCTCTTCGGAGGTGCGCGGTGGGCTTGCCAGCGAGTGTGGCGTTTGTCTGATGGATCCCTTTTCTTTGTATTTCTATGTAAACTAGTGTTGTATATTGAACAAATGACAACCTTTCACTGGTGCAAAAGATTTTGTTGGTGTGAGATGAAAAATTTGACATGCAAATCTGTGCATGTGACATGAAAATTGTGAGCAGGATAAGTACTTGAATGTAATGTCATTTCGTGAGTTTCTCATGCTTGTCTGGTTGTCTCCTAACTTCAGCCAGCTTAGCATAACAATATATTATCTTTGCTCATTTGATGCCTCACATACCACTGGTTGTATCCGATGGTGTTCATAAACATGCTCTCCGTGTTCTCATAACAGGCTTTGGGGTGAGCATATATCACCTCCCAATCTGTGCATCTCGATAACCTTATATGCACTCCTATTCCTTTTATCCTAGCCCTTTGCTAATTACAAAGAAAACCCTTCATGGCTAGCCGTCCGCGAACTCAACAATGTCCTACTCGAACCCTCAAGCCTCGCACAACCCGTCACTCTCGAGCACCAACAAGTCTACTCTGATGAAGATTCACGTCCGATCCATGTTACGACTCTCATGGTCCCCGTGACCTACTCCGCTGTCCTCTCAACGGTTCCGAATCTACACGCTCGTCCGCCGAACTTGCCTATTCCACCGGGCGATGATATTGATAAGCCTTTATCTACGGACCCACCTCCCGATGGATATGACCTTATCATACACGTCGGCGCGGGACGAACGGGAAATCTTCGTATCGAGAAGCTAGGGCATAAATATGGGTACGACATGCCGGACGTTGATAGCAAATTTGCACCTGAGGTCCAAGTGCTTAACGGGGGCGATGCTGAGGAACGGGATGAAGCGAAGAGGGCGGGTGGGACGGAGGACGCTGCTGAGGTGTTTGAACGTGCACGAGTCGCTGCTGAGAAGAAGAGCTCGAGTTTGAGGGGGTTTGCCGAGGGATATGAACCGTTTGATGAAGAGTTGAAGACAGACGTTGATGTTGACAAATTAGTCGAAGACTTAAAACATTTAGGCGTGGATGTGAGTACTACTTTCATGCTATACCTCTTCAATGCTGATTACAGAACGCTGAGTATAGCAGATCGAGGCGAGCACGAATGCTGGTCGTTATCTATGCGACTTTATTTATTACTGTTCTCTGGCTGAGGCTCAACGCACACGAGAAGCGCAATCGTCCTCAGGCAAGGCAACGAAGGTGCTCTTCGTGCATTGCCCACCGGTCGACAAGCCGTTGAACTCCGAGTACGTGACGGAAGCGCTGAAGTGTATCACCATGTCTGTATGCGGACGGTCGTCATAATTGTGTATAAGTTTATAAGATTTATGGTGGACATCGAAATGGAATGGAGGTGCAAAATGTAAACATAACAATTTTATTAAAGTCATGCACAACGAAATTATGATGTACTCTTGAGTTACCTAGCAGTTGTGTAATATTTTCAGGATTCGGCAATTTATTCTCTGTAATGTAATCGTGGGAAAGCTGAAAATTACAGTTGTGACTCAACTGCATTTATTCTGCTCAACGTCAAGACGTCGCACTCTCTCCTTTCGAGTATATTTACATTTAGACAGTCTCTTTGAGTACCTCTTCACCCATTTATAGAGGCAAATTTTCAAGAGCCAAGGAACCAGGCAGAATAACCGCAATGAACTTTACGGACACGTCCTCCGTCCGATACCCTCGCGAATTCCTCGCAGTCATTTTAGCAGGCTTCGGTAACGAGTAAGTGCTCCATGCTTGACCTTCACAATCGAAGTTTCATTTGATGCGACGAACAGATTACAGCCGTTGACTAGTAATTATGGTGACCAGCCATGTCCAAAGGCGTTACTTCCTATTGGGAACAAGCCTATGATTTCGTATGTTTTGAATTGGGTTGAGGAGGCTGGGTTGAAGGGTGAGTCGTGCATCGACTGTTAGACAAGTTATGTATACTGACTTCTTGTGCTTGTGATTCTGTATAGATGTCTTGCTTATATGCCCGACCTCACACCGTGATGCCATCTCGCACCATATCAACTCCGATCCATCCTCCTCATCTCTCTCAAACCTAAGCGTAGAAATCCAAACATACGACCAGTCGCAAGACATACCCGCAGGTACCGCAAGCATCCTCGCACACTTCGCCACCCGCATCTCCAATGATTTCGTTCTACTTCCGTGTGATTTTATCCCGCCACCGTCGTTACGTCTTGAAAGTGTGTTGGATAAGTTTAGAGTGGAAGTGGATACGGACGGTGCGCTTGCTACTGCTTTGTTCTTTGAGCAACGTCCGGTGGAGGGAGAGAAGGGGAAGGCGGCTGCTGTGGAAGAGACGTGGGGTGCTCCTACCCCACCTTGGCCTGTGGTGTACGATGCTAACAGCGGTACGCTTTTACACGTCGATACACTCGATGATCAAGATAGGGATGGCGACGAACTCGCAATCCGGATGTGCACACTTTGTTCTTACCCGCGAACGACGCTCTCAACGCGCCTTGTCGACGCACATGTATATGTCTGTCGACATGCCGTACTCGACGCGTTGCAGATGCATGAAAAAAGACATATTGACTCGTTTAGAGAGGAGTTCCTACCTTGGTTGTGTAAAGTTCATACCCATCGCACGAAACGAACGAAATACTCGAAGGTATTGAGCCCCATTACGAATAATACACCTACACAGGCACTCGCACTGCAACATTCCACTTCGTACCCTCCGTCTTTACAAAAACTACGAGCACCTTCCTCTCTCGACAGTGCAGACTCTTCTCCAGCAGGGGACGAAGAAAACAGTGAAAGTCCTCCACCAAGTCTACGTATCGGACTCGTTATACATCCTTTCTCGAAAGGATATGCAGCACGTGCGAATAACTTACAAGCATATCTGGAATTAAATCGAGCAGCGTTAGGAAGGACAGCACCACCAACACACGACCCTGCCCTCCGCGCACTAATAGACGCGAAAGCGAACATCACTCCTGATAGCCTCATCGGTTCTTCTACACGCGTTGGAGAGCGGAGTACGATCAAACACTCTGCTATTGGAAGTCATTGTACGATTGGTAAGAATGTTAGACTGACGGGGTGTGTGTTGATGGAGTATTGTGTGGTTGAGGATGGGGCGAAGTTGGATGGGTGTATTTTAGGGAAGAATACGAGGGTTGGAGTGAAAGCGGAGGTGGTGAAGTGTGTTACGCAGGCTGGGTTCGAGGTTGAGGAAGGTGGGGTGTATAAGCATGAGAAGCTGGATGTGTCGGATTGGACGGCAGGTGCGGATGAAGAAGATGAGGAAGATGAAGATGAAGATGCTGAAGAAAAGTCATCTGAAGATAGTGACAACTGAAGACGAATTTGATGCTACGTGAAGAGACATGATAGAAAGTGTAGTTTTGTAACTGTAGAAATTTATGACATTGCACATGAGGATATCACCTCCTGATTGGTTGCATTTTGTTCTGCGACGCAGAATTCCTACGGCTGTCACATTAGGAAAAAGTCCAAACTCTTGAATTACATTATAATTTGTGAAAAGTAAGGAAAAGGTAAAAGTAACTAGAATTGATCTCGGTTTTGAGAAAATAGCACAAGGCATTATAAGGTTAGGAAGTTTTATTAATGTTCAAAGGTTTTTCAGTATTGTAAATCTAAGAAAAACTTGTGGTTCTTTATAATAAGTAAAAGGAGTTGTATGTATTATAAGACTCAAAAGGTTTGTTTTTGTTATAAAGGTATGCAAAAGTTGTTATCCTTTGCAACAAGTAAAATTACTTATACATGATGCTGTGTGTTCTTCAGTAAATCTTGCAGCTCAATCAGCTTGATCTCATCACAAAAAAGTCTTAAATATTGTACTTGCTTGTAATCTCATATATTTTATATATTTTATAAAATTTGTCCAAGTACTTATAATCTTCCTGGGGGGTTAAGTAAAGAAAGTACAATGTTAGATAAGTAAGTAAGAACACTTGTAAAACTTGGCAATTTCCATTATAATTGTATAAATTGTCAAGTTATACAAGTGATTATAACACTTTCTAAGATTACAAGACTAAGACATACTTATTTATTTGAGAAAGTATAATATCCACTTATAATGGTTATAAGTTGTTACAAGTGTTTGATGTCAGTGACAGTATAGAGGAGACCTGAAGACTCAGCAAGGGGACCCAGGCTACAACTATCCTACACAACAGAAATACAGAATGCAAGCACCAGAATGTGGTCAGAACTTGCAGAACAGACAGAGAGAGAGAGTGAGACAAGAGTAGAGTATATAGAGTAAGCTTAAGAGTACAGGACTACCTAGAGTAGACAAGATCAAGACTACAGGACTAGTCTGATCTTGTATGCCTATATATACTAAACTACACAAGAGTACTCAGGGAGCATGAGCCACTAAGAATGATAAGCCACAAAGAATGAAAGAAAGGAAGGTCAAAGATAAAGGTACAAAGAATGAAGGGATGGACAAAGAGTAAGAGACTATAGAATAAACAAAGAATGAAGGGGTGGTCAAAGGAATAGAATGATGAAGTAAGGAAGGGTAGTAGCAAGAGTCAGCATGCATATAGTCTACAGACAGTGCCTCTGAGGGACAGAAGTCCTGAGTTCTAGTACAGAAGGGTGTAGAACCCTCAGAACTGAAGGTACAAGAGTAGAAAATTATAACATTACCCTCCCTCTAAAACCAATTGTCCTGATTAGTGAACATAAGGCTTGGTTAGCAGCTCAGGCATAGGTCAGAATAGTAGGGCTTGGAAATCTGTAAGGCTGAGTTTGTACAGAGCACTAGGATGAAGCTGATAGAAATCTCAGATTGTCTTAAGAGTATGGGCAAGGTTCTTAGTAGGTTCCTAAGTACACTCCTCAACTAGGTACCCTTTCTAGTAAACTAGGAATTTGAGTTTTCTACATAGTAGCTTAGTATCTACTATGTATTCTACTTTGTATTCTGGTTTGGAACTGATGAGTTCTGGTGGAGGCAGAGGGGGTCTTTGTTATAAAGGAAAACTGGGATTGTAGTACTAAGACAACAGAACCTTATTAAACACTAGGTGTATGTACTTCTATGTTGTTAGAAGTTGGAGTTTGTAGACAGAGGCACTAACCTTCTTTTCAATAACAAAGGGTCTGAAGTGCTTGTTGTCCAACTTCTTCATTAGGCAATCCAAGGTCAGATTAGTAGCTTCTAGCATAACCTTGTTACTAGGCTGGTAATCCTTGACTGTAGACTTCTTCCAATTATAGTTCTACTTTATAACCTACACTACCTTCTCTAAAAGAGCTTGTATGTCCTCCCTGGTTCTGTGTATCCATTCTATAAAGTCTGTTACAGATTCAGAACTACTGTTCTGGTTTAGAACTGTCCCCTAGTACAGATGTCTCTCATAATTAAGGAAGAACAGGGACTGTCCTATTGTAGAGTGTTGTCAGTTATTGTGCACAAATTCTGTCAGAGCTAACTATTCAGACCAATCTGATTACTAATGATTAATGAACATCTGAAGGTAGAGCTCAATCTCCTAATTGACTCACTCAGTTTGACTGTCAGTCTGTAGGTAATAAGTAGTAGAAGGGTTTCCTTGAATTCTGAGAAGTGTATACAAGTTCTGTATAAATTTCAACTTGAATTACAGTCTGTAATTGTGAATGAGCTTCTGAGAGAGTCTATACAACCAGAAGACATAATCCTAATAAATGTGTACTATACTTTCAGAAGTGAGTTCTGTTTAGGTTGGAACTGTGTAGACTTGCTTAGAGAATCAGTCAACAATTACACAGATAGTATTGTAACCCTAAGACTCAGGTAGCTTACTAATCAGGTCCACTAAGACTTCTTCCTAAGAGTGATCCAGAATCTGATACAGATGTAGGGGAGCCTAAACCCTTGTCTAGTAGGTCTTAGTCTGTTAGTATGTATTACAACCAGTTATGTACTTCAGGATTTCTCTCTACATTCCTGACTACTAGTAGTTCTGAGTAATGAGTTCCTGCATTTTGTGTCAGTCTGAATGTTCTATAGTCAGATTGTTGTAATAAGCTTAGATAATGTTCTCCTACAGCTTCTGATCCTTTAGAACATACAGTCAGTCTTCCTAGTAAACCTGTCCATCCTTATCCTCCTCCTAATTCCTAGCCTGCTTCTCTAGCTACTTTACTACAACCTAGTCCTGTGTGTGTCTTAGAGCTTACTGTATACAGGTGATAAAGTCAACATCCTTGAATTCAAGTCAGATCTCTTAGATTGTCTTAGACACAAAACAGGAATTGTTTAGAAGAACAAGATTTTTGTTATCATTCTCCCCTCTTTCATAACCTACTTGTCTTGAGAGTAAATCAGCTTTTGTCATTTGTGTTCTAGGTTTGTAGGTTAGTACAAAGTTATAGTCTTACAGTTTTAACATCTAGCAGGCTTAGTAGTAGTTGAGCTTCTGAGGCACCTGAAAGTACTAGAGATTAAGGTGATCACTCTAAATCTTAAACTTTTGTACAGTACTGAGGAGATATTAATACTACTCCTCTAGGGAACAAACAATTGTAAGGAGTTCCTTGTTATAGATAGGGTAGTTCTGTTCTGTTACAGAGAGGGATTCTGATCAGAACACTATTAGACACTACTTTCCATTAATGAACTAGGACAGTACTACTCTATTTGTAAAGTTAGAAGAGTTGGCTTTGACTCAGAACTTGTCTGTAACTGTCAGAACTACTAATACAGGCTTGCTAGTAATAGCCTACTTAAGGGACTCAAACACAGACTACTACTAATTATCCTATTACTAAGGAACATCTTTACTAGTAAGATTGTAAAGGGGTTAGACAATAGTACTAAAGCCTTAAATGAAGTATTAGTAGTAGTTTACAAACCTAAGGAATGCTTAGACCTGTTTCAGGTTCTAAGATTGTAGCCAGTTCCAAACTACAGTTACCTTTACCAGATCCATACAGACCTCTCCTTTACCAATCATAAAGCCTAGATAATCTACTGACTCTTATACAAAAGAGTACTTTACTTCTTAGAGGAACAGTTTATTATCTTAGAGCTGTTGTAGAACTACTTGGATCAGTTAGTAATAGTACTCAACTGTCTGAGTAAAGATCAGAATGTTGTCCAGATACACACTAACATACTCTGAGTCAATCAGATCTGTGAGAATATGATTCATGAATGACTAGAATATTGTAGACAAGTTAGTTAGTTTAAAGAACATTATAGTTGGTTTGTACAATCTGTAATTAGTTCAGAATGTAGTCTTCTACTCATCTCTGTCTCAGATCTAAATATTATTATACTCTTATTAAATGTCCAACTTAGTAAAAACCCTAAATGTATACATCTTATTAATGAGCTCCTAAATCAGAGGGAGCAGGTACTTGTTTTTGACAGTACTCTTATTAAGACAATAATAATCCTAGACTAGGTAGAGCTTCCTATCTTTCTTTTTGACAAAGAAGAAAGGGGAGGTTATAGAGGACTTTAAGGGTTGGATCTGACTGTTTTAAAGATTTTCCTAAAGGAACTTGTCAAGCACCTCCTGCTTGTCTCTATTGAGCAGGTAGACCTTACAATCCTTAGGTTGGAAACCCTTAGTCAATTCAATTGTATAGTTCTAGAGACAGTATTCAGGAAGCTAGTCAAATTCCTCTTTACTAAAGACTTTAGGGAACTCTTAGATAAAATCTGGCAGGCTAAGTTTATGTATGTTCTAGAGTAGAGTTATTCTGAGAGGGTTCTGGACTAGTTCTGTCTTAGACATCCTTTAAATCAACTCTGTTCTGCCTTGACTAGAATATGTATTCACATATTTATCCTAGTTAAAGAAGAACAACTAGTCACCTTCATTAGAACTGTTAGTAACATTAGAAGTGTCTGTATTCACTTAGAACAGTAGTACAAGGTAGTTGTAAGACTCAGAACACTGATTGAATACAAGTGTCTACTCTAACTAGTTAATAGTAAGGTTGTAAGCCTTAAGCTATTTGAATCTAATAAAGATGTCTGTCTTTCTAAGGTTAGTAACTCTGAACTCAATACTTTCCTTATAATCCTGAATAGTCATCTGTAGTTGGACAAACTCAGTAATCTGACTATTCTGATTTAGGGTTCTGTCTACATTGTATACTAGGATCAGAAGTAGAATGTATCAAGTAGGGAGGTAGTGTTCCTACATAAAGGCCTTATTAATACACAAACTAGTGTATTTACTGTCTACTAGAGCTATTGTTCAGATCTGGAGGGATCCTAAGAAGAGAGCTAAGAGGACAAGAACTTAGAGCTAGTGTCTAGAATATTCTCAGATAAACTACTACTTGTTCTAAAAGGAATGTACAGCTTATATAGCTTTGTTGTCTAAGAGGGTAAGTATATACACTAACATTTCCTTATTAACCTCTCTCTTTCAACAAGGGTGGACCTA